AACTTTCAACACAGTCAGTCTGAAACGCTACTAAAATCCTCCTAAATTCCCCCTAAAATATATTATACATCTATAATAATCTATAATAATCAGAAATACAATAAAAAACGTTACCTCTATTATCTTAGGTCTTTTCTCCAATACAACATCGATGTTATCAGTAAGAACTAGAGTTTTACATTGGAAGTCAAAAGTGTTAATAATTTGTTCATTATGAACATCATCGAGAATCAATAAAGCATTGCAATTTTCTTTTTTATTAAAATAACATTTCAAATATTGGATCAGAGAATTTCTCTCAAGTGAAGTAAACAATTCTGGTTGAATTTCTAAATTTCTCACATCATAATAAAGTGTGTTTAATTGAATTAATATTTCTTCATCAAGTGAAACATCATCTGCAAATTTAATCCAGTAGACCTGATTCTAAAATAAAAAAAATATTTTTATGCAAACTATAACACATTAATATCATATACTATATGTTTAATATAACTTAATATAATATGAAAAATATCATACAGAAAATAAATGTTTCACTAATTTTACGTCCTTGAGAGTACTGGCAACTAGAGATGATTTTCCAAATCCTTTCATGCCATGTAACGCAATGTATTTTGTGGGAATTAATTCTTGTAAAGCTTTCTTTAACTGGTTAATCTGAAAATGTAACGTATTACATAATACATAGTTTTCATTTTATATATCGGAATTATTTATTATGATGCAAAGAGGCGAATTGTGACTTTAAGATTACTAACTATTTGAAAACTAATATCTAAGTGCATGTCTAATGTGCCTAATGGACAAATTGCTAGTGTATTATGTATACAAATATATAATGAAAAACACTGATAAAGTTTATGTAAACTTACGTAATATTTCCACATTCGTATGCATAAAGAAGAATAGTTAAACTAAATAAGAATTAAATTATCTATTATAATAAGTTACATTTAAATGACGCTAGATTAAATATGTTATTAGAAAATTTTAATAAAAGCCGACTTATCTATATTATTAAAAAAAATATTA